AGGAAATCGGCGTTCAAAACTGGTGCAGGGTACGTCAGATACAGGGTTTTGAACTTTCGTTATGTGATTGGCTCGATATGCATGGCAGTTTAGCCTATGAATGATGAGGAATAAAAGAAGGTTTAGAATTTGAATTCTAATATTAATGTAGTGGAACAACTATAGAGCAAAAATACAAGTTGACGCAACCGTTGGTTTGGTATACACAGTGAAACTGCTCAAGTCGGACACGACGGGATGGGCATGGCTGTCCGACTTATCGAGGGATCCGCGTTATCGAGAGACCAAAAGGATTCATCATAACACAATTTTCATTAACGTATTATACTTGCTTTAACTTTGATCTTCATTAAGGACGGAAAGTCTGCTTTTTTATACATTTTCTAAATATTATTAAGAATAAATAAATGCATTGTTTCAAAGTATAAAATAATCGCAGAATGATATCCTCAATGAATATTTTATGACATACAATGCAATACAAAAACGTCTTTTCTAAATCATTATCAATGATATAATAAGTTATAAACAATTTGTCTAAATTACAAGAATGTCTTTCCAAACTATCAATTAAATAGCAAAGTCATCAATGACATGGTGAGATATGAACATTTTCCTCAAATTTTAATCGTCAAATGATTGTAGCTAATGAAGATGACAAAATTATTATTGGGCAATCTCTACGAAAATAGTAAAAAATTTTGTTTAATCGTGAATCTGACTTATCGAGAGTCATTGACTAGTATTAGTATCTGTCTGGAGAAGCTGTCCGACTTATCGAGAAAATTTTAAATATGAAAAAAAGGGGCTGAGAGATTTTCTCCGACTTATCAAGTGTCCGACATCACTGTGGACTATTAATGTTAAATTACTTACATATAGATGTTTAATTGCAAGAAACCAGACAAAGTGAACATTTGACCGCGTGAACTGAAAATGGCTAAAGTTACTAATGTAACTGATATAGTGTTGGGAAAGCTTTGCTTAAGGGACACAGCTGTGACTCAGGCACAGCACATGGCCTACAGTGTGGTGAAAGCTCAAGCATGATTAGCATTCAAGTTGCTTAAAATAAAACCAATACAAAGCTCACAATGAGAGAGATTATTGTTTTCAAAATTTATTTTTACAATTAGCACAAATAGAGCCAATGTCTGCAGTAATCATCTTCATGGTATGCCATGTAATTTATGAGTAGCATTATCAAGAAATAATTATCACTAATTATGCAGTAATTACAACATACCATATTAAATATGAGACAAATAATTTGGTTTTTCATAACTACACATTGAAGTTTGCTTTAAGAAGAGCTTCGTTCCGCCAAAAAACTTTGTTAATGCGGACTATTCGTTAAAGCGGACTTTTAACTATATAACGAACTTTTATATATAGTCACGTGATATTCGTTAAAGTGGGATTTATTCGTTTACTTCTGTGCTGTACCGTACATTCCATCCTGTGAATTTCGAAGTGAATAAAATTCTCTAAACATGTCTGTTTTTTGCTGCAATACCTTTTTCAACAATTTGTTTACGCAGTTGCTTTAGCTGACTATATACTTGAATGTCGACACTTAAATCTTTGCTGCTGACAAAATAAGACTATGTTATCAAGAGCCGCTACAGCAGTAGTGTTGTTCAAATTTCTATATACAGTAATAGCACTATAACAAACTTCGTTATAATATACCGGACTTCGCTATTGCAACAAAATTTCGGTATATTATACTAATTTAGGCAATCTTCGTTAAACTGAATGGGTTTATCTTATAGTGGGTTTGAAATTCTTCGCTATATCGTTATACAGATTTTAATTATAAATCTTCGTTAAACCGGGAGCTAAGCATATACAAATGAATCGGTTCCTGAAAAAGCTTCGTTATAAGGCCATCGTCGTTAAAACGGTTCTTCGTTAAAGCGGACTTCACTGTATAGTTGCTTTGTAATAGTAATATGTCTCAAACGTTTCGTGCTTGACATTGTCTTTATCAAATTAACTTTTTCTTTGAGCTTTGAATTTTGCTGGTTTTTTTTTTTTTTTGCTCACCTTCTCAATCTCTTTTTATATCTCTACAACCTTCTGTCATGTCATTATTTAGTGCTTTTAAATTCATTTTTACTTTAATTTCTACTCTTCTCCTTGCTTGACTTCCACTTGTTAAATTTTTTCTTTGTATTTATTTTTCCAGAAGCAGTTGCTTTGCCTCTGTTTCCTTATTTTTCTTTAAAAAAAGAGACCAAAAAATTTTTTCATAAAAATTGCTGTGTGTCAATTTAGAATTGATAATCTATGCAGAAAAAAATTTATTATTCATTGTCAAGACTATAATAACGCATGCATATACAGTATGTTAACCGTAATGTATCATTGTCATATGCTCAATTTCATGCTTCTCATATATCAAACGCTAATCAAAGAAGTGGGCTCATTATATCCAAACTTTTCTCTCGCTACTGTTACTAGCCGGGGGGGGGGGGGGGCTATTTGATCTTTCCCCCCGCAACTCCTTGTGTATAATCATGAATGCAATTATCATACGATGGATGTTATCCAACAATTTCAAAGCAAATTATCGTACGATGGATTTTTAGCCAATAATTTCAATGCAAGAATCATCGTGCACAACATTGATAACTGATAACTGAAATGGTCGTCAGTACCTGAGAATCATACAAACAATTATTGACGTTCTATTAGAATTAGAAAATCAATGAGTCTTATTTAATCGAGTGACTTATAGAACACACTAATAACTCGTTTGTAAAAATACAATGCCTTTAATTTATAACATTGTCATACTAGTTAACAATATTCAAATCTACATAAATTCCAACCTGACGTATGTCAATTTAGAATCGACGTAAATTCCAAATTGACATACAACACGCTTAAATTATATTACGGATATTTTCTAGCGTAATGTATAGTGTAATAGCTAATTTATTACATCATCTAATTTATTGTCGCCTGATTTATTTGTCGCTTCCCTAATTCATGACCTGATTTATTTTATGGCCTGATTTATTGTATCGCTAACCACTAAACCACATGGAGTAAATGATCAGTTGTCCCCCACAAATATAGAAATGGCATGATTTCTTATGTAATTTAGGGGATATAAACAAGGTTGGATAACTATAAAATTGGGGAATAGGGATATATCTGAGTGGGATACAACTGAGAACAGTCGACCTCCCTTACAGTCACCTCCCTTACAGTCACATTTACACATTTGTTCAGTCTCGAATTTTTTCATAGTAATTTTCCTCCCACACAGTCACATTCATAGTGTTAGTCACAATCACACGATTTTGGATTCCCATCATTATGAGGACAATAGGTAAATTCCTCCTACTACACAGTCACATCAATTTGTATAACAGTTTTTGTTGTCGTATTATGTCATAGAGTCGTAATTTTACATGTATCATACCGCGTTTCGAGCTTTGTTACATCATATCAATGTAATGGATAAATGCTGTCGAAGGACTATAAATTTTTATATAATAATAATAATAAACAGCGAGGCGTCGCATAGTTCCATAGTTTTCCCAATGTCGTTACAACGTCAACCAAAGAAAAGAGCTTAATTGATTTTGTGTGTCTTTTATTAAGCACAGCTAAAAGAGCTCAATTGAATATTGATAATAAGCGCGAAATTTGTGAATACGCAAGACAACATCCTACTTTAAGTCTGGTAAAAAAATACCATGTGTGCAATTAAAAGAGGCTAAACGGGGCTTAAAAACTGCAATTAGATATATTGAACAACAGTCGGATGGTGTAGGAATTGACTTTAGTGATTTGTGTATTTTTCGTAAATACTTAAATTTGCTGGGCCTCAAAGAACTTGAATCAAATGTCAACAAAAAATTGATAATTATTTTATGAAACAACTTTAGCTTATACAGTATATTATAGTTTATACATTATAACCTTGTACCAAGCTAATCTTATTAAATAAATATTTTGAAAATTTTACATTTGCTTTATAGATCACATGACTACAGGTCAACCTCCCATACATAATACAGTCACCCCTCCTTAGTGACTGTATGGGAGGTCGACTGTATAACTTTTCAATTTACATTATTAAAAAAAAAAATAAAGACATGGCACATTATTGTCTTTCTCTAATGGTCAAAAACTTCAAAAAATGACTTTTGCTCAGAAAATACAATCTCAAACTATATTACATTTTTGGAATAAAAACATAACCAATGGCCAAGAAATACATAGGGGGCAAATATACCTCCTGCTACAATTTATAATAATTTAAAAAAGCTCAAAAAAAAAGGAAACACAAGAGGAAATGGTCAGCCAAAAAAGATTACTATTACTGCTGAAACATCAAAGACTTTTGGATATCTGAAGGGATACTATTCTCTCAAGCAGAACTTTAGCAATCATGAAAAATGTTGATGTTTCTCACATGACAATCTTGAGACATTTGTCTAATCTTAACTATTCCAAAAGCATACCAATGGCTACACAAATGTTCACTAAAGCTCACAAAAAAAATAATTGAGTACAGTGGGCAAAAAACTATTATTTTCTGATAAAATAGTGTTCCAACTATACTGATACCAATAACTATCGCGAGGAACTTTTATTCACAACAATCTAATAACAATAACAGATAACAATAAACAGTTGATCATTAAGTCAGTGCATTTCTGTTGTCACCTAACTTGCTATAATTTCCACCTTGCCCTTCTCAGGAGTTGACTACAGAGATAAGAGTAAACAGTTGATCATTAAGTCAGTGCATTTCTGTTGTCACCTAACTTGCTATAATTTTTACCTTGCCCTTCTCAGGAGTTGACTACAGAGATAAGAGTCCCTATCATTATGTCAATCTGCCTCTAGTCAAGCCAGCTACAGATGGTTGACTTTATTATTTATTACTGACTTCATGTTTATTCACTTAAAGCTAGTATTGCTACTTATTAATGGTAAAATGTTAACTGCAGACAAGTGTTGCATCACTTCTGATATCACATACAGCAGTAGAATTTGTAGGGATATGCTGCTGGATCGCCAGACTCATCATAATACTCAAAAGGCACGTTGAAATAATGAAAAAGTGTACCTATTGCTGCTATTTCATTTGCTGCCCAATCTCTAGCATCAATGACAATATCATTTTTATGCCCATGCACAGCTTTTGATGCTTGATAATAGAGTCCGCCAAGACATCTTTGGACGTCACTGTAACGGAGACTATTAACTTGACAAACCTTCTTTAATAATGTTGCAAACGGTGCAAACGCCTGATCTTCTGTCAATTTCTTCAAAGCCACGCCTGCAGGTTCGCGGAACGAGATCGTCGAGCATTTTGCGATAATCTATTTATTGTCAGAATGTAAACAAATGTATGCGGTACGAGTTATTGCACGAGCATTTTGTTAAAAAATATGCGAACGTACCTGTGCCCGGATAAACTCCAGCGCTCCCCAGACGTCACAAACCCTTTTTGCACGTAAATACTTAGCCGTGCAGTCCTTTTCAAGTTTTACCACAATCTCCAATTTTTCGTCTTTAAGCTTCCTCTGCAACTCTAATTTTCGCTCTCTTTCTCGTCTTTAAGTTTCGTTAATAATTTGTGCTGAGACAAATCTAAAAATCTTGTTCAACTTTTCTGGATCATTAGGTAATTCTGACCTTATCGGCGAGAAGTCTATCTCTGTTACCGATATGACTGCGCCATTGGGAGAGGATGATTTCCAACGCTTCAGGCACCAAGGACGGTATCTCTGTAAACAGTACAAAAGCATATTGTCCAGACGATAAGAAACGTAAAGCGTTGATATGCCGAGGCATCGTTTACTTACTGTAAGCACAGTTCTCATTTCATACAACGGTCGTCGGTACATGATAAGAGAATGCGAAATTTCCTTCCTGTCAGATCGCTGTTCAAGACAACATACCCAACCCAATACATAAATACAATTCTATGTGCAAGACTGACGTCAGAGTCTAATTCTATTGGTTTGTTCCACTTAAACGAAAAAAAAAATATCTTTCACACAATGTTGCAGAACTTTATTGAGAACTCGCATATCAATTAATCTAAGTGTACGCTGCCGTGCATTAACATCTATCGCGGGGTATTTGCTTATCGACACAATGTCATATGATCTATACCACGGTTTACCATAGGAAAGCATAGTAGATTTTCGCGACCTTGGAACCTTATAACTTTTTAAAATAATAAGTAAATTTGATGTTTATGGCATTTTTTTTATTTTCGAGTAAAAGATTGACAATCATGTTTATTTTCCCCGATTTAGCTCGTCTGCCACTGACTAATAAATTGAATTGCCATTGGGGTGTCAAATTAAGACCGCTAAACCTCTCTGAGTTCTTACACACATTACTGTGATAAACGAACCTTTCGCATTTGTCAAACTCTTCTATGTGAGCCATTAAGTTGCAGTGATTCTCATATTAAACGTTATTATCTTTGGTCGAGAATTATTCAATATTTATATCTGTAATGCGTTAGTATCTTACTTCCGCAAATAAAAACCCTTCTCTGTTAATATATGGCAAATGTAGGGTAAATATTGCAAGTATACACATTGTTGCATACATAATTTCGCTGGTTTTTATTAATAGTAGCAAAAATAAAAAGATAATAAAAATTAAATAAACGACATAATATCGTTAAATTATACAAATGTGGGAGCTGATATTCAGCAAAGTTAGTAAAAATACAATTAAGAAAACTTGACTCAAAGCTTTAAAGAATTAACAGCATTGTTCACTGCATTTCAAATTCTTAGTTTAAAGTTTTCTTCAAATAATTTTTTTGAAGTTTTGCTAATTTGTTTACCATAACTATTTATTTATTTTATTGATTCTTTTAACTACTTATATTCTTTTATGAGAAGATATTAGTAATATGCTCAAACAGTCTTGTTGTACACTAATACCAATACAAATGTCAACCCAAGTCCATGTTTATTGCTGTAAATAATAATGACTGCATTTCAGAAACAAAACATTCTCATTGTGACAATTCAGCCTTTCTTATGATAACAAAGAATGCAACTTTTCTACAATCTGCAACAAATCTGTCTCTCTCTTGGTATACCATTTGAATCAAATGACAGAGTATTGACTTATCAGACAAGATTTCTCATCCAGATTCTTCAAAAATATCCACTTTGGAAGTTCGTGACAATTCCATACACCAAATCAATATTGTCCAAATCCGCAACAATCTCACATCCAAAGCTTGTGACAATACCACTTTTTTCCAACCATAGCCGTCGAGCATAATCCAGACACTTGAAGACACCATGACTGTATAGGTGCTACTCACGTTCAGTCAACATGTTCAAGGACAAATCCGAAGTAATTTACAAAATAAAAAAAGGCCACCGTAATTTGTTGTGCTGTCATTAAAACGAAACAAAAAGGGCAGTAGTGGGAATTTTGGCGTTTTAAGATGACTATCTGAATACGTAATAAACAAGTCCCACTATCTTACTGTCATTCCGCAAACTTTGTAAAAGAGCGCCGATGTACAACGCGAAACTAATGCTGATTATCGATACTTAATATTAATATGGTAGCAAATTATCGATATTTGCGCGCGGTCAATCAGATGTCGCGCCACTCACGTGAACGATAGAGACTAATTTCGCATTAAACCGGAATTCAAAGTATGGACTTTATTAATTAATGGTAAAACGTTAATCATACAAAACATTCTCAAGCAAATTTCCCAAAGATGGGTATGCGTCCGAAAAACAGTCTATGACGCTGCCGAGCAATGAAGTTTTGAGTGCCTACAAGTAACAGACTAGTTTCAAGTTGAGATAATTAGTTTGTACATGTATGAGATTTTAACATAGGTACACGCGTTCCTTTCACCAACATTCAAGCTGTAACCAATAATACATAGAGGTGAGATGGTTTACTGTTTTATTCGTTATATAAAACGAGAGCGTATCAACAATCTGCTTGTTCTGAGTATGATGCTACAAAAGATCTAAATTATTCTATTTAGGCGTGTATCCAATACTTCTCACTTGCCAATTTCAATAATCCACCCACTCATCAATTCCATCACCCATTCAACTGCTCTGTTTATAAGAATGTAAGTGCCGAACACAGCACCAAAGAATCCGTACACAATCAAGGATGCGAGTAACATTAATCCTGCCGTGATTACTACAATCCCACAATCAGCGTTACCATTTGCGCATTCATTACATCCGATGCCATCTGATTGACCCGACATTGCACAGCAAGTGAGAGGTATGCATGAAAAGAGGACTAGAGGCGAGGAAGAGTGTAATGCGAGGTAAACAATACCAATGAGAGATATTATGCAAAGACCACCGATAAAGTCGAGAGGTGATAAAGAAAAAACTGTCGTTGGTTTGTCTAAGCTTAGAAAGGACGGATCTGTTTATTTGCGAAAAAAGGTAAAGCGTAAGCCAATTATTATATGAGTCGCATAGACGATGATTTCCCCAACAGCAACTCACCGTACATTCCATTACTAATCAAAAATGTTATCACGAAATGTGCAATAAAGCTAGCCAATAAAGCAGCAAGCAATAATAAAAGTGTCGTATAAAATTGTTTGCTTGTCCAGTGTAGTATAATTTTTGCTAATTGAAGACGATATAATCGATATTCAAAACCGCACTTTTCGCACGAAAATGATACGGGAGAATTGCGGAGGCTAGACTGTGTATCTTGCCATTGTTCTAGACATCCAATATGAACATAATGATGAGATGTACGACATTTACATGGGGAGATTAGTGTTGATGATGATAAGGAAGGAGAGACGAGATGGGACAAGAATGAATTATGTGTATCGTGAGCTGATTGTGTTTCGGATGAATTACTGTTCTTGTGGCATAATCTACATATTTTAAGTGTTTCCTGATTCCGCGTGGATGCGTCTTGATTCAAACCGCTTTCTATGTCCAATGAGATTACGTTCATATTCTCCGCCTCAATGTATCTACTACATTCTGTTGACAGTGTGTTCCTTGAATTTGTGCTATTGTCTGCGTCTGTTCGAGAATGCTCACGTACAGTGACATTGTTTGAGTTGTAGGAAGGGGGAATTGGCAGAACTGGTATGGATGTCGTAGTGGATGATAATGATGAGGATGACTTCTGCATAAGTTGATTTTATTTCGAGATCGTCTCTTGTGATATGTCAACCTTTTTCTACAACGTTATCTGGTCTGTGTATTTATTTATGTTCGGGTCGTCAATTATGATCACCCCACTGTACTCCGAGCTCTTTTTTCAATTTAATTTGGTTTAATAAAGTTGCCCAAATTAGAGATCTTACTGTGGCTATTTTGCATACCCATTTCTAAAAGTTTGACCTTCACTAACATAATCAGAAATATTCGGCGTGTTACACACACACACACCCCGAAATGCCGTGGCGAAATATTTTCTTTCTAGAGTAGTATTATCTGACAAATTAACACTGGGGAAGTCCTTATTAACCGTTCTTATATTTACATCAACTTACGCCTGCATGATAGCGGCTGTTGGAAAACCAGCTATCGTATGTTTCGAGTCGGATTGAAAAACTTGATGACGGAATGCAGTTGACATTTATCGCTTCAAATAGGGATGTCATTTTGGCCCGTTTTAAGATTATCACATATATTTTGGCGTCTACAATTCTTCTTTCCTGACAATTACGTTTTGCAGCATCGCTTGCATGATGCTCATTCAATCCAATTACGTCATATTGATTTCGCTCATGACGATAGATGCAAGTTCTTATAACGACAGATATTAAACGAATTTGGAAATACTCTTTTCGTAGTCCGAGGTGCGTCAGAGTTAAACGAACAATGTTACATTAAAGATTGAAAATAGTAGTTTATATTACATAATTTTAATAGTTAATCCTATTTTCCTTATTTTGAACAAGCCATCTCACATCTCTTTACGATAAATGAATTAGAGAACCATGTCTAAAAGCTGTTCTGTCTTTTGCATTATATCATCAACTACTTTTGGGCAAGAAATTCTGTACAATATAGACTGAGTCATTATTCTGGTTTTATCCCTAACATGGTTGTTACATACTGTATATATATCCTGTATCGGTTAAATATTAATATAATTATTTCTTTCGGGTAACATTATTCAATTTATGATAATGCACATACATTACCGGTAATTTTATTTCAAAGTGGCTTTATATTCGCTCCATATGTTTCTACTCAGAACAGTCAGCTCAATATAAGATAGAAATGACTGCAATACAAGTCTACGTACTAAGCTTATGACTAAGCTCTTCTATGAGCATGTAATTTTATATCCCCAATGCGGAACGTACGAAAGGGATGCAAGCATTTAAGCGTGTAAGAAACAAAAATTGCAATAATGAGAAAAATAGAATTATTACGTATCAATTCAGTTCAGTAATTACAAGTGCAATGGTTCAAATAAATGTATACAAGACTTTTGAGCATTTAGTCTTTATTGTGGTTAGAGAACGATATGCTACATTACTGTCAACTCAAAAAAACTATTTCACATAGTCTCTCGCAAACCACATGTTTTATATTAAGAATTACATTAACGTTTGTTCTTTTTTGTAAAAAAAAAAAGACATTAACAAGAAATTAGTAGTAACTGAAAAGTAAAATATACTATATCCTAATAACATTAAGCAGTGGACAAGAACGAAACATTACTGTCAGAAATTTGTGTGGGAAAACATTAAGTGAACACTTATCGCTGAAAACACTTTTAATAGAAAGGTGCAGCCGCCAAACCAGCACCCAAACCCCAACCCCAAGGCCTAACAAAAGGCGCACCTAGAAATGGTGTACCTACAAATGGATGGAAACCAAACTTGGTAATAGTAACTGGAGCAACGAATGGAGCGACCTTAACGACCTTGGTGATTGGAGCGACCGTGGTGAATGGAGCAATCTTAACGAACTTGGTGATTGGAGCGACCGTGGTGAATGGAGCGACCTTAACGACCTTGGTGAATGGAGCAACCCTAACGAAATTGGTGAATGGAGCAACCCTAACCCTAGTGGCGATCCTTGTGACTCTGACGAGATTGGTGAATGGAGCGACCTTAACGACCTTGGTGATTGGAGCGACCGTGGTGAATGGAGCGACCTTAACGACCCTAACGAGATTGGTGAATGGAGCAACTTTGGCGACCCTTGTGACTCTGACGAGATTGGTGAATGGAGCGACCTTGGTGATTGGAGCGATCGTGGTGAATGGAGCGACCTTAACGACCTTGGTGATTGGAGCAATCCTAACGAGATTGGTGAATGGAGCAACCTTGGCGACCCTTGTGACTCTGACGAGATTGGTGAATGGAGCGACCTTAACGACCTTGGTGATTGGAGCAATCGTAGTAATTGGAGCAATCCTAACGGCTTTTTTGATTATAGTAGTCGGTATGATATTAGTTTTCCTAAACTTTTGGAAGTTGAATCTCTGGACGTTTGTGACAACTTTGGTTAGGACGGTCTTTCCACAATTAGTGCAAGCGGTTTGAACAGCAGCATTGTTCTGGACGCCGGCGGGGTAGAAAATTCCGGCTTGTACAGTGCTAACAGAAAGGACGGAGAGACATGCTAGAAAAACTGTCGATAACTTCATCTTGGCAGATTGATAACTGTTCTTGTCTTGCTTTTCGGGGTTTTTTTGTTATCAAAACCGTGTTTCGATGGAGAACTAGAGACGGGAGAGAGCAAAGGCTTTTATAACTCTTTAACATATGATGGATGTGGGAAAAGAAACGGACAGAAAGCGTCAGACGATTTTAGAGAATGGTAAAATTGATACTGTCGGGTTACTGTTCTCGATAAACTAATCTCCTGTGGGATCATAGTTTCGTGAAATTGAAGGAAAACCATAATACTATGGGAAAGAGAAAATAATGTCAGTATATGAAGAGCTAACTGCGTTGCGATCACTAAATTAAAATAATAAATGTGAGTCATGGTGAATATGTTTAAATTAACATTTGTTTTTTTTTTCGAAATGCGATTCTTTCAATTGTTCGCATTGACTAGTGATGAATCATAGTCTTGTCTCAAAAGTGGGCCATATCTTTCCATTCTGCAGAATTTTTCTTTTATTCGCACATGTGACAACGAACGAATGATATGATATTATTGCGGGTGATTATCGGTGTGATTACAATCTGACGAATTTTTTACTGCTTTATCGCTATGATTTATTATTATGATATTGAGGCGAAAACGGTGAAATGCACGCTACCTCGATAGCGAATAAATCGTAAGCAAATAAGACAAATAAAATAAATCGATTAGTGATCTGCATATGTGACGCAGATTGCGTCAGAATATTCTCAAATGTCACTAACATAAACACATCGTTATTAAACATACGATCTCATGAGAAAAGTACAAAGTCTATACTATCTTCATATTGTTATTCACCATCGACCAGACGAAAATGACGTGTATTATTGTTCACTGAAACTAGAACTATGTGTATAGTTTTGTAAATAAAAAACTCAATGATACGGCTTATCGGTAATCAAGTGAAATAAGCTTTTAGTTAATATTAAGCCTCTTATTATTAATTAATATTACCAGACTGGCTCGTCTTAGAGAATCAGACTTGTTTTTTTTCTGTAAATTTTTTATTCCTGATAATACGGACGGTTTACGCTTAAATTATTCGACTACTGCTTAAAAAAACATGATTGTAGTGCTTTGGATGTATGATCCTAATGACTATTATGAGATCATACCCACCAGCAAAAATCGAAAAAGTTGTTTATGTGTTACCCAGAGTCCCGTGAGACCGACCTTTTATCCGAGAATTTTTAAAAACGAGAGATTTGGCCGACTCGAGCCAAAAATCGACTTATCGAGACTGATCATGTATTTGAAATTTGTACTCCAGGTTGCCAAACATCGTTCTCCGTCTTTTTTATAGTTATGGTTATACGCTTATAGCCTTTGTACTCTGTCTTGGCATTTCTCTCCTCGAATTCGATTTATCCAGCGTTGGGAAAAAAAAAAGATTATTCAGAATAAATAAAGTCATCATAATCCTACTTCGCCAGATGACGATTTCTATTATAGAAATAGCAATAATGGTTATACCTTCAACACAATGTTATTGAATATCCATCACATTATTACAAGCTTTTAAATGACAAATCGGAATATCAATAACATTCGAGTTTTGACATACTATATAATCTGTTTGTAGACACAACACAACGACATAAAAAAAGTTACATGTCGATTATCCTGGGCAACTTTATTTTGTTTAAGTTAAAAAGCTTAGCATTAGCCGAAACCAATAATAAAAAAAAGAAAAAGTTATTACGAGCCGCATGTGAAAATTGGTGTTGCTAGAGTTTAGTATAATTTCAGTACTATCTATAAACAAATTGCGACTGTATGGTTATTAAAAGCTCTTTGCATTGCAAAATTACATGCAGTTACTTTTGTTTGTAAGTAGCGAGACAACAAGAGACCAAAACCCTCAATCATATAGGAATGAGTTATTTCACTCGAAAAGCTTTGATAATCCGTTCACTGTTGGCACTCATACTCAATTTACGAAATCCTGTTTTTTATAAAATCTTTTGATTATCTTGTAAAAAAACCCCTCTTTTCTTAACATATAAATGTTAGCATACGATATGTCTTGTAAACAGTAGTATAAGCGGTTGACAGATTATTTACGAAAATGATCTATAAATGAACCCAATTCCTTGGTGATACGATGTATTATTTCAGTAAAAGTCTCTTAATGTAGTACGGATAGTACTCGCAACATGCTCACACTAACCAAAGACGGTTTGCAAGTATTATTTTATCTTTATTATCTTGTGACGATGATCTTGCATAGACAAGGACGTTGAATCCGCTTCGCTGGTAGCCTCAGTCTCAAACCCCACAACTCGAATAACGTTCCAATGCCGTGTTTCCAAAGCCTAAATATATAATTGGTTTTGTGGGAGTGTAAATTTGTAAGCAAAATCGACAAAAAAAGAATAATTCCTTTTATGTCTGGCACGCATAATGAGCAGGGGATAATGTGATTTGAGCAAGTCTTTTCTTTGTTTCTACCCCCAAAAATGTTATTTTATCTGCGTTCTTTATTAGCTGCACATACACATGTATGCATTTAAACTGGTGCATAACATTGCCGTTCCGGAAGAAAAGGCCGAGACGTTGAATAAATTGTGGATAACCAGCAGGTAGATATCAGGTTTGATAGTCGAACAAAATGCTCCGTCTTTTTCTTTCTCCAAAGTCTGTTCTTTGTATTTTCCCAAATAGAGAATAAACACTATTCAATATAACATAAGCATTTGCACGCGTAACATCGTATTACTATAATGTGATAATATAAAACAATACTGTTTATCACATTTTTAACTGCTGCCCTGGCAAAAAACAAATTAACAATGAGAACATGACGTTACATGCAGGGAGCATACGTTTCGGTACACTGTAGAAATAAACAAAAGTGATAGCCTGTTCTCATACATCAACCGATAACAATGCATATGCTAAATTCGCACAATGCAATATGTTTTCACCGAATCATAGCGAACATTCTTTATGTACTTGTCATACATTTTCTCCGCTTCTTGGACCCTTTCCTTTAGCAGCATGTTTCAGCTCCAAAATTAATTTAATTTACATGACCGAATCGAGTTGTGTTCTATGAACCTGATCAAACAAAAAAAAAGCAGTCTTTGTTTGGTTGATTTATTTACATAATGTAACAGCTACTAAGTACAGAAATCCCAACACGTTGGAACTCGTGAAATAATACAAGAAGAAAAAACAACCAGATATGATCGAACAAGAAAGAAATGGGAAAAGGCAAAAAAAAATGCAAAAAAAAAGGAAAATAGAGCACACTACTAATCACATTCCCATATCAATAAACCTAACTATTCGTTATTGTTCATTTCGACAAGTTTCATTTCCAAACAACAGATTATTATATCCGAAATACGAGCCATTTGCATTTGGCATAAACATTTGATGAATCGGCACGAATTGGCCTTCCGTTGAAACTGTCTGAGCAGATGCCGATAATGGCGGAGAAGGAAGAATGGGCGGAGGGAGAGAAGGCATATCTAGAAAAGGAAATCCAGCGATTGAAGAATTGTCTGATGATCTCGCGGTAAATGGAGGAGGAGGGTAAGATGGAGAAGTTTGAGAATAAGACGAATGAGATGCTGGCGATAAAGAGGGTTGCGACGACGTCAAACGAGAGGAGGGAATTTCAATAAACGAGTCTGATGATAAAGAAGACGTTTGCTCATTCTGTACCGAAGATGAAGATAAAGAAGAGCCGACTACGGGAGTATCATCATTACTTCCTGCAGTTAAATCATCAAGCGTATTCCCATCCTTGTTACTAGTCTTAAATTCGCCGGTACCAAGCATATCATTTAAAAAGCCGAATGCGACAAATTGTTCCGGCTCTGGTTCAAAGTTAGGAAATCCCACCGAAAGCATAGGGTGATTCAACACATTATCCAGCTCGGCGTTCATCCGAGTACTCATATCGTCAGTTTGCATGGCACAGTTTAATTCACTGTTTGGTTTAATATTGTCATTACCATCGTTCGTGCCATCGCTGTAATCCATCATTTGATCTTCGTACAGCGTACCGGCACTCATCGAAGATTGTTCGGTGAAAGACATTGGAGACGTGGGCGGTTGAGACGAAGAAGCAAAAATGTCGGACGAACAAGATTCCACACCAGGTGAAAAATACAAAGGCGACAAGGCAAAAGCAGAAAACATTTCATTAGATTTCGTGTCATTATTATTGTTGTGTGACAATGATTGTTGCGCTTTCGTCTTGAGCGAATGCTGATTAGTATGATCGTCAGCACGAAAATCTATAGTCATTGATGCATTGTCATTTTTGTCTTCGTTTTCTGTGGCAAACATCTGTGGCATTGTAACCGATTTGGCCCATGGATCAAGCTCAGTCTTTTTGTTTTTTCCGCGTTGTTTTACCTCGACCATTTTTTTTCCTTTACCGTTCCGTTCTTTTGGTTGATATTTATAATCAGGAAATAGTTCCCTATGCGCCAAGTAGCCAGCTTTGCTCAACACTGTAAAGACGTTTTTCTTCTCGGTCGTTTCGTTCTTCCATCTTGCGCTGGCTATTTTCGAAATTTCGATAAATGAGGCATTGGGATATTCTCGACGAATTTCGTCTTGAATGTCTTTGCGGTAGAGGATGAATTCATTTTGTGGGCGAGAAACTCCACGATGACCTCGATTCTTTTTACAGGGAGCGAGTAATACTGCGAGCGGCAAGTTGGTACTAAACGTGTGGACGTCCTTGTTCATTTCTCTGAGATGCGCCAGTACTGCGTCGCTCATGAGTTTTTTGTATTCTGGTGAATCGATGTTCAGTAGAGTTGGGGAATTTGGGCGGCATATGACATTGGATTTTGATTTTGGCATTTTTCTTTTTTTGACAGTAACTTTTGATAACTGGGAACTGATTCGCTTTAAATAAGTAAAAGTGTAAGAAAGTGTTTGTTGATGTATATGGTATGTAGTGCAAATTAAAATTAATGTAATCCCAGCTGTAATTCTTTCTCTGAACGATCCAAAACCCAGCTTTTATAGTATGGCAAAATTAATTTCAAACAAGTGGCCTTAATTTGTGTCAGGTATCTATGTTGTGTGTGTGTGTTGAATCGAAGAAAAAGTGGTGAGAGGAGTGGGAGAATGAAGGGATTTCCAAACGGCTAGATATCAAATCTATTACTTTGCTCGAGTCTTAATTCTATTTCTCACTCTTGGCCCCCCGTTCATCGGCGCCTCATTTTATACGTTTCTCTTACCCGTGGCAAATTCGCCTTAGACTAAACTTATACTAAAATAGGACGTCAGGGACTTGTGTATCTGTATCAGGCGTTTTTGGTTTCAGGAATCTATTGAAAGAAGGAACCAGAAAATCGTTGTGTAATTGAAAGTATTATTTCCGAATTTTGGGAATTGGATCCAAGCTGAGGAGGACGAAATCTACCAATCGGTACAATTTTATAAGTAGTTACTGATATCATTTGTCATATGCAATAGGCGATAAGTGTTTATGAATCTATGACAAGAAATGTGTCAAAAACCTGAGCAAAAATTCCGTCAAAGAAACGAGCAAGGCAGAGGACGAAAAAACGAAAATAAAATTGCCTAAAAAAATAGAGTATATATTTTTTGGTATGACGTACATTCGGTTTGTAAACAATATAATGTAGTGTCATACCGCTTTATAAGAATCGTACAATCAGATATGGCTTGTGTCTTTTAAGAAAACTCTTGTCGAAGACTTTGCTGGAAAAGATAATGTTCCTGGTAACTTGTGTACAGTATTATTCTTAGCTTTCCCCATGACGGGTCTCACCCAACGTGACTGCGTAACAAACTTTTCTAATTAACGGGGATGTCAAACAAACTTTTTTGCTTATTTGTACGCTCGCGTGGTCAACAGCGATACTTGATTTAAACTATGACAATAGCAATGAATGCAAGTCAACCATCGATCCTTGAGTTACCTTCAAAGACAATATGATGGCGAGATCGCTAATTATAGCCGTAAACTTGGTGTTCATAATGTTAGCTTGTTCTATGTTATTGTTATTTCCGGTATGTCAGTCTATTGTTGTTATCTTGGGGACTGTTCTATAATTTTTACGAATTGATCTTAACAATATTTAACCCCGAGAATTTAATCCATATTGTCGCGGCCGGATCTTTGTAACCAAAAAACCTGTTGTGCCCAGTCATACAAAGATTAAAATGTCAAATTTGCTGCGATTGGCGGAAATCATAAACAAAGCATGAGTTTACAGCAACCACGCGAGAGAACGTTTGTCTGACAAAATTTGTACCTAAATTTGCCCCGCTTTGCGTACATTTTAGTGCAGCGTTTAGCAAGTTTGCGACAGAGAGAGAGAGAGAAAGACTCTTGTTCGTCGTCAAAAAGAAAGAGAAGAGAGAGACGGCGGTCTACTATAAAGCTTCGCAACGTTCACAGTATGTCTGGGTTAGCAAATATACAGTAGATGACAAATAAAGATGAATTCCGCCATGTGAAAAAAGAATATAAGCTGCAGATAGCAATGTTATATAAAAGATCATCTTGTGTCATCCTTTTGTTTACGATAACGAATCAAATCATAAAGGATAATTTGACATAAAACGATATCATCAGAAATATTTCTATAATCATGGATCATACGCCCGAAGATAAATGCTCTTGCATTTTCTTTGTTGAATCTTCTTTCTTTCACTGGGCGTCGCAACATACGCTAAAGCATTCGTGCTACTATCGCTTCAGCACTTGAACAATGATGTTAATCAATATGATGCACCAATAGAATGACTTTATTGGTTACACACGCAAACCGCACTAGCTACTACATCTACTCATCATCATCATCATCATCATCATCAAGGACAAACCTTCAACTTGCCCACAACCTTTTTGCTCCCAAATCCCCCCAAAGATTAATTCTCTCTTTACGCTCCACAATATTTTGCAAAAATATTACAAATGTAATACGAGGACACAAAGTAAAAGAATAATTGACGAAAAACGAGCGAGTCCGAATGTGGGAACTTTGGAAAAAAATATGTTGCTATTGTTTGAACGTTATTTAAGATAATGCGCTTTCCAAGATGAGGAATGGAATGGTAGGCAGTTAGTTTGATAGAATCCTACTAATTATTTTCGCATAATATGTTGGTGCCACGATACAATAATTATGAACTTCAAATTTGCTATGTATAGATTGTTTGCTTGAACGTTAATGTATGCCAAATACTAATACACTTTTGAACACAGTTAGAATCCATTCAACACAAGTTTTTCCAACTCTTGCTCTCTCAAACAGTCTATATTTGTTAGTAAATGATATATCTTTGCCAGCACTTGGGACGTATTTACTTCCATTTGCCATGTCACGCTAATAGCTAATACAAGCACTAATTCGAATTCTTTAACAGGGGTCCCCAACCCTCTCTCCTCCCCTTCCGCAGATAAACATTCTCTGAGATTGTTCTGTAATTCGTAAGACAATTAAAGTCTCCATCCTCATAAGTCGCAAAATTGTCAAATCAGTGTAAATTAGATTTACTATATTTAGATCACAAAATCCTTTTTTAGACTTTTCGTGGGGATCTAACTACGTTCGAAGTTTCGGTAAATTTGTTTTAATTTCTCAAGTGATGCAGTACATCATTAATTATTAATGAGTATTATTATGTAAGAGTTCAGTGATGATGTGCTATAAAAGACGGGACTTAGCACACACATTACATTAAGGGTTTTTCCTCTGCTACGCTATTAATTTTTTCGAATTTCTCGGAACAGATCTCTATCACAATGCTCGCCGGCAAACATTATCTCCCGTTAGTGCTCTGCCTCGTACTTCTTTTAACTTTCACCACTGCGGGCTACATTTCGCCAAACGAACTTGGCAAACGACAATACGGTGGCGGCAATGGTGACGGTTCCACTCCTTCCGATTCTGCTACTACTACTGGTACGCCTGCTCCTGACCCTATTCCTACATCTACGGACGGCGCTACTACATCTACGGTTGGCGCTACTACACCTACGGACGGCGCTACTACACCTACGGACGGCGCTACTACACCTACGGACGGCGCTACTACACCTACGGACGGCGCTACTACAACTCCCAATGGTGCCACTACGACGCCTGCTGGTTCGTCTACTCCATCTCCGCCAGCTAGCACACCAGCAGCCAACAGCAGCAAGCCGACTTCATCTACTTCATCTACCAGCGCTTCATCTACCAGCAGTTCTTCCAGTCAGACACCAGATGGTCAGTCTACTGCTGGATTATCAACGGCCGGAATGGGAACGCATGAATTGATGTTGAAGAGTTTTGCGTTAATGGGCAGTATTGCCATTGGTGCTAGCATACTGATGGTTTAGATTTTATACTTTAATTAAATCTTTGTTGTTTTTTGTGCGGTCTATATAAATACTAGATTAAATTAAAATTAAACGTCTGTCGATTGGAATTAACTTTTCTTTTTTATAATAAACTTAAATCGGCGGATATTCATGTTTAATGATAGTATGCGATCGATCGGCATGTTGCTCATAATAATAATTAGTTTGGGGTTATTGAAATGTCGTACAGCAATATTACTATTATAAGATGTACTACTCTTCGAATTGTACGACCACGAGCAATACGTATTATTATTATGACTTTGTGTAACGATTCGGATACATCCAGAATTACGACATTAGTGATTCAGCATCAAATAACTCTTTTCATGTTGAAAGGTTAATTAAATAGTAATTCGTCTATATTAAATATCTACCAATATACAAAACCCATTCACAATTCTGCTCTCCCTATTTAGTTTTTCCATCCTCTCTAACAATAATCCGTTCGCTCCCTTCACCAATCACGAAAAGAAAAGTAAAGCTAATCCCATCATTCCACTCCACCACATCATAACGTCATACGCCTTCACGCCACGCATTCCGGCATTTGCCATACTGTATTCTTCATTCCAATATCTCTTTTTCGTCTTCAAATTTGAACAGCTATCATCAATGGCTTGCCTCCCACTAGAAACGTCGTCCAATAACAGACTCTGTACTTGTGAACTGGAAACGTTATGGGAATTGGTATAATTCTCGAATATGCTAACTGCGCGCGCAAAACAATCTCCACATATTGTATCTTGGGGGAAGGGAATATCCCGACGATCATGGTAGTTCGTGCCATATGTGATCGTACCCAAGGGTGGAATCTGAGCAAAGACGTAAAGAGTTGATGCATTGCCGTTGCGATCTCCGACAACAGACCAGGCAGTGGTAAGTTGATCTGACGTGCAATAGTCTATATGAGACAACAGAAGATAAAGTGTCAAGTAGTGAATGATGTGGTAGAGTATTGCAGTTATTCATGATATTAAGAAAGCGACATTTAGATCTTTAAAAGCACATGAATAAAAACAAGAGACCAATATTCTAATTCTGTCTACTTCCAATTATGCAATCATTCGTCTGAATTAATTTCTCACTTTCCCAATCGTCTCCCACCATTCAACTCTTACCTCCATTACTATCTTTCAAACAGACACTATGCCGCCTCGGTACCATAAAATAGGCATTCCAAAACCCATCGCTTATTATTGACAAAAGGCCTGAGAACATGTTCACGTCACCGTTTAGCTCATCTTCACAAATTTGTTCAAGCTGCTTGTAAAATTCGATATACTTTGTTTCGTTACAGTCATTCATGTTTAAACAAAAATTGTCCAGTTCCGTAGTGTTTATCCCAGCTGGAGAATAGGAATTAACTATAGCATCGGGAGCTGGTGGAGGAGGGCAAATGGATTGTAAAGTATCATCTATGGAGAAGATGGCGTTCTCGCATTGCGAACATTTAGAAGTAACAAATGTTCGTTCGCAGGTGTCTGCCGATGCAACAACGTGCGGGAAAACAAGTACAACTAAGAGAAGCGAAAAGAAGGCGAGAGAGCGAGTGGAGGAACGAGCTGAAGTAGGGGTTGTATAAAGATTACTGCGAGAGTTTTGAAGCTGCATTTTTCCTTGAAGAAGCGAATGGTTGATGGTATAGTTTAGTACGTCGAACCAAGGAGAGAAGTTCGACCGAGTCGCAAACATATTTTTACGGATCAAAATTGTAATCAGGAACTCACAAGCGAAGGTTATATGACCATGACTCTACCAAGAGGTTTGAAGTTGTTACTGTTTTACAATGGGACAACAATCCAAGCTGTATAGTTATCCAAACTTTGCCAAGTGTCGCACATGATAGAAATTCACGATTGGCTGAAAAGCAATGACGAAAAGATTTGACATTTTCCTCATTCACGCGAGAATGTTTATGATATTTAAATAGTAAAGTCGACAAGTTGAAATGTGAAGCTTGTAATGATATTAATATTGTAAAGGACGTGATCTATTAATATTTCTACCCGAATATTCTAAATTGAGTATTGCATTCTTTACCCATATCGGGACTAGAGTGGAGATACATCAAACAGTGTGACGATCATACAAGCAAACTTTATCCAAACCTCGAAACAATGCCGAGGGTTTTGTCTGTTCAAGTCATGTTCCAGCAACTGACTAATGGCAAGTAGTTCTTAATGGTCGAGGACATGTTTATTGAATACACGTATCCTGGCTGTCGAAATAGATGTCAGCTTACAAACATCTCCATACACTCCCGTCTCAAGTAACCCTCTACATTTGCGATTAGGTGAGAATGCTGGCAAAACGAGCAATTGAATTACGTACGTATCGTGAAATTTTAATCTGGTGCACGACATGTTTACAAAACCTGCAATGTTGTTAGCTAGCAATAATAACGTTTTGTGTAATAGAAAAGTTAAGTTATACGATCCAAGTCTAAAAGTACTGCATAGTAAATTTACACAATTTACAAACTGCTATCGTTCGGCTCAGTTAGGATTAGTTATTTTTTTTTACCTTCTTTATTTATAATAGGATAGCCGTCTTTTTGGATAATGGTTAAATTGCTTATTTTTTGAGTAGTTTTTAATCAGTCGGCTCGATTAAGGCACCCGAAGCTAAATCTTGTAAAGCCATTAGAGGTTCGTTGTGCAGACCAAATATCTTGAAGTTTAATTAGTAGATAAATTCGGACCATGCACGAAATCACGATGAGGAAAAGTCATTACAGTTTTATGTCGAAACGTTTTTACAAATACAAGGAAGAGAACACTAGACGTTATTGAAGAGTGAATAAGAAACAAGGATAAAGTCGTCAATAATAATAAAGCGTAGTAGAGTTTTACCAGAATGTCCAAAGAACAGGCTACACTCATTCATGACTTTGGTTCCTCTCATTAATAGCTTTGGTTTCGCATGCAATTATCACCTTGGTGCTGGTTAAAAAAATATTATCGTTTGACTACAATTAGTGAACGAGTGAGTCAATGCTCAACGAATTCACTCAAGCGGTCCTTTATCAACAATTTTTTGTTGATAGATCGCTCGCTCTGTGCGGAAAACTATTACGATAAATTTATTTGCTTTTCTCTCTCTCTCTCTCTCTCTCTTGGTTTATTATAGAGTTAGCATTAATGCTCGCTTATTGGTTTCTATTTTTCGTTCTTCTTGATAAATTTATAAGTAATTTTTTTGTCTCGAGAATTTTGATATGGTCAATGTTTAGAGAGAACTCGAGGTCCGACATAATGAGCTAGGATTGGTGCTAGACAGTGAGTAGTAAAGCTTATTTGAACGATCAGGAACGTTGTATTGTATTTACCTAAGCAGAATAGTCATTCGCTCTCCGTAATAATAATATTTTGGAATTACTAAAAGACAGACATGACTATAAACCAGACGCAATGAACAGTTCACACATAATGAACCAATATTTATGGATCAGTTGTTTTAAAAAAACCTGTTACTTTGCATTTTAATGGTGGATTTTTCATTTAATCCGGCGGCGGTACTTGACTTTTTCAACATCCAGGCGATATGGTCCATGCAATCAACAGTTGTCTTTTATCAAAGTCTTAACTGACCCAAGCTGTCATTATGCCTGAACTAAATTTGTATAATTAGATGACTAGATACAGTTTTTATTCTGTCTGTCTGCATTTTTTTTAGTAGGCGACAGCACATGTAAAATTCTATATAGTAATTGCAAGGGGAAGAATACCACTTTCGTTGCCCTAACGCAAATTTATCTACATACTATTTGCTATAACCACTTTCTAATTTTTTTGAATGTCTCCAGGTTTAGCATGTACAAAGATATCTATCGACTAGTAACTTAGTAATGACAAACGTTTGCGGACTGTCACGTCATCAGTCTTAATTTTTGTTGGACGCCCGTGCAAAGTTGTGTTTACTTCTCACGTATTTCTTAATTCTCACGATTATTTCAAATTCAATAGCGTAAGACTTTATTTCAAATTCGTATCTGTTACAAAACACGTAAACAGTTTCTTAATACTAATACAATATTTTTTTTTTCGTCAGAAAAAGTGTCCACAATAATAAATTCTAGTCTTTTTCGTAAAGTTTGTGTGGGGTAAACTTTTATAAAATAAATGTACGGGTTATCTTGAATGAAGACTGCGTGTAACTTGAATGTACATATTTAGTACGGCTTTTGCGCATGTCTTCCAACAAGAGTTAAGACTGATGATGCAAACGGGCGTCATTATTCATCAACGGAATCATTTGGGCTATTGTCCACGCAAACATCTAAAAGCAATTCATATATGGTATCACATTGCTGAAACCGGAATTTGTGTTTTGATACTAATACACACAAGGATCATGTGAGAAACATGTCGGTCGTTTCCGTAGCGCTATTAGGAAAGCATTAACATTAAATTTACTTTAACAGATTTTTCAATAGTAATAGCGATGCAGCAGTTTATTTTTCCTTAAACGGCCGTTTACTTGGCATATGTAACATTGGAGTTTAGGAATTTTGAAACGTGTGACAGAAAATGGTAACCCGTTATAGTTATGGTAACAGTAATAATCTCAGTAACGGTAAAACAGAACTCGAATCTCACCGTTCATTGGACCATCAGTCGTTTGTATGACATTGTCTTATTTGAACTCTGCGCATATAAATTAGATGGATGAAGGGGGATCAGTTAAGAACCTTTCGTCACTGAGATTGTTCTCATTGTCTCTGAGAAAGAAAGGTGTCTTGGCGATACGGTTACGAAAAACCGAAGAGATATCGAAGCCGACACGATATCATATAAATCAAAGCCCCCCCCCCCCCCTCTCCTAACGGGCGCTACTTGCTCTACTTTCATTATATCTGGTTCAACAAGTACGACCAACGAAGAATGAATTCACTCTCTCTTACGATCTCCCTTTCGTTCTTGATTTCTCTCTTAATCATCGGAAACGTGATACCGGCGGTTGATACGGCACCGGTCCCTGCATTTTATATACGTTACCAGATGAAGAGCTTTTACGAATTCGTGGGAACGAGTAATAACATGGTCTCCTTTAACGAGTTGAACGAGGTCGTTCTGGTCTATTAGTAAAAAATATCAACACTCTTTTCCTTATACAACAAGCTAATCTCATTAAAAACATGTGAGATGTTTGAGTGACATTTACCCGAAAACCGTATTTGATGGCTCCCAGTCTCGGCGAATCTGACATCTTATACGGAATGATGTCATGACTTTGTGTTTGTATCTAAGAATAGATAATACTGTTTTTGACGATAGAGAATAAACAGTAAGTGGTTTACTTAGAATATGATTTGTTATCCATATTATTCAATATCACATGCATATATTTGTAAGCTCTCTCAGCTAAACAATAATGTACAAACAAATACCTCATTAAACACACTTTATTACTAATATAGTGTTTCGGTCATCAGACTTATCACCCCATTTTGTCTTTAATCTCCCCATCCCCGAAACACACTCTCTCATAAACTGATTTAGAAACATCAGTTATGCCTTTCGATTTTCTCATGTATCACACAATACGGATAAACCTTGTTGGTTTCGTCCATAATAATAAATGGCCCAAAATGATGGATTACTGTACACGTGGGATATACGGAGAATCGGCATAATAAAGTTACTTTACTGTTGGAGTTGGCATTTAGCTTTTTGAGACCAGTACGGTTTAAATAGGTTCGTTGAAAATTTAACCAAAGAAAAGTCATAGCTCTTATTTTCAAACCACTCATAGTGCTCGCAGTTCCGACGGGCAATGTGAATAATCCGGTTGTTCGCATTGAGCAGAGTATACTCGGCGGGGTTATTAATAATGCTTGTTCGGTTTCACGAATGTTCTTGTCCCTTGGGCTTGGCCTATTACTATGGATACATAATGCGGTGGATATCGCCTTCATCAAAATTTTAAAGATCTATTCTTGCAGCAGGTCTGTAGACCTCTAACAGTATTTATCCAGATGCCATACGAGAATGTTATCCAACCGTTACATTTTTCAAAAACTTGCCTTGAAAACAATTCGGATATCAACTGTCACGGGCATGGCATTGACCCGTGTTGCTTAAAGTCGTCTGGCATCTGTCTGATCTGACGCCACGTAATTCAGTCAGCAAGATCCCGCAACGGTAAAGACTTTTTCTTTAACGTGTTTCCATCCAGTCGGGTAATATATTAATATCGACTTGCACGGATGTTACAGTAGATCGACACGTGAATTATATACTCAACCGGTTAGCGTAAAAAGGTAAATGTTATTAAACTTTACCAATACTTGTTACATACCAATAAAGCGATAATAATAAATGCTCTCAAATGCTCACGCGTATTGGCTGCTGATCCGGTTTCTCTGTGCATTTCAAATCGGGTCTACCAGAGCTTCAAATATCAACTAGTAAGTAGTTCATTTAATAACGCGTCTTGCGCTTTCAAAATAACAAATATTATGACAAGCTTTAACGAAGAGCAAATCTTAGGTTCCGTTCCACGTTTAATAGTGGTTTAATTGACGACTCTTGCTAAAACATCTCCATAAAGTAATTGAAGAAATAATTAAACCTAAAGTACCTATATTCGCATTTCTGTATTGGTCATGTTCACATTAAAAACTTGGTCTTTTTTTCGCAGTAAGTAATTTCAGCGTAATGATGATAATAGATTATGGCAGGATATGTCGACACATTACAAAAAGCATCTTGGCCGTTCTGCTTTTTCATCCGCCTTTATGGATAGAGCGTTTGGAATCAGACTTTTATGGCAAGTCTGTTAGAAAGACAATTAACCCGACGGAATTATGTAAAGAACAATATTCCCCGTTATTCACATTATTAAAAATTTGAACTAGATCAAAATTAGCGGCTCAAATCATTTAGTTATTTATTCTACCCTCAATACCTGCAAATAGATATCTCACTATTATTGTCACAAAACACCGAATATTTACTATACATATAGAATTGGGAACAGAATCACCATATTACTAAATAAGTCCTGGAATGAGCAAATACAAACAACTACAATTACATGTATTCTTGCTGAGAAGTATATGCAACTGCCTGAGCGGATGTGTCCACGGATGGAGTGGCACCATACGGAGATTGCGTATCGTATGTGTCTTGACGCGGAAGCTTATCTTGAACAACGGTTTGTTGGTATGCATATGAATGTTGTTGCAGTTGTTGCTGATGCAGTTGTTGTTGTTGTGGTGGTGGTGGTTGCAGTTGTTGCGGTTGCAGTTGTTGTGGTTGCAGTTGTTGCGTTTGCAGTTGTTGCGGTTGCAGTTGTTGCGGTTGCAGTTGTTGCTGCTGCTGCTGCTGTTGCAGTTGTTGTTGTTGTTGTTGTTGTTGTGGAGCGTAGTACGGAGACTGACGAGGATCTGGCTGAACAGGTGAAGCGTATGTTGTGCTTTGAGGCTGGTCTCTATTCGTAATGGGTGAATAATTACCTGCTGTGTAGGGAGCTGCCTGAGTTGATACGTCTACTGGTGGTGCGGTACCATACTGAGATTGTGTGTCATACACGGTCTGCCGAGGTTTATCCTGGGTAGGAGGTGGAAATGGAAGTGCATGTTGGACCTGCGCTTGTGAAGAGTAATACGCGCCTTGACGAGAATCAGGCTGAACGGGAGGAGTGTATATTGAGGTTTGGGAAGACGTATACTGAGCGTAGGTGGTTGACGTATCGTATTGAGTGGTTGGAGGTGGTGTGGGATATGCTGAATTTGTTATTGTGTTATAGGGAGAATACGCATCTGTCGGTGCGCTATAGCCGTCTTTATAACAAAAAGTATCGATATAAATAAGTTGGAATAGATTTAACAAGCAAATGCAAAGAGTAATGAGAGCCTATTACATACATGGTGTATTGTACTTGTATCTGTCGATAGACACTTCATATAGCTTGTCGTAAGTCGTTCTTGCTTTCGTAAATTTCTCATTCAAAGCGATTAATTCGTCTATGAATCATCGATCCAAAAGGTCCATTAGTTGTTTTTTCTTATTCGATGTAAGAGTATAAATTATTACCGTGAAACACTTTTTACCTTTCTTCTGGCTATACTTTTCAATAAGTTTCACCAACTTTGGACGCACCGCCAAAGTTGAATGATACAGATTCTATTTATTATTTGTCGGAAAATAATATAAAGAAACATCCAATAGAACCGCGTTAGTAGTGCTCACGAAAATACCCACATCTACATTCACTCACTTGAATCTCTTCATTCTCTGAGAAGTTATCCCTGTTTGGATCAATAGTTGTTAACATTTGTAGTAATTTTTCAATATTTTTTGACTCTGCGAACACGGACGCTTCAATTTCCGCTTCCCGTGCCAAATCTGCAGGTGTAGGGTCGGGAAGTTTCTCCTAAATAATGATAAGAAAAAAGCGAACGTTAACATCGGCGTGTAAGCGGAGCGAATACGAGTTACATAGCCAGCTATCACTATTCACGTAAAAAACGAAGACTAAACTTATGCGCATACATACAATATAGTTTACTGGAAATATACCAGTACGCCCACGCAGTTCGCCCCGCCACCAGTCCTTGTAGACACTATCGATTACAGTAATAATATCACCACGAGAAAAACCAAGCTCGCTCGGTTCAGATGGTGCAAAATCGTATAGCGCTTTGACCCTTGTAACTGGCGGGTCTCTTGAATTACTATCATTCTTGATAAACAGATGTATTATTAGTCAGCCTACCAAAGTGTATGACAATCAGGTCATCGTGTTGGTCAGTAGTGCTTACCTTTGCTACGCCCTTTGCGAATCCGGTAAAAGCTGGTTCCTACATAAAATGGTTATTATTCTATTCTGTAATAATCAATACAAAATGTTTTACGCGGTATACCTTCTTTTGCGTC